GCCAAGATCATCGGGCGCGCAATCGCATGCCAACGCAAGCGAAGTTGACCTCTCCCTCCTGCACCCCCTTTAACTTGCCGCAAGAGAAAATTTCTGTCTGCTACAAATCCTTCTACCCTCCCCCACCCCATAAATTTTGAATTCTCTCTAAAGTTTCGTAATTTTCCCGTTATATTTTGATTGTTTATATCATTTTGTTTCCTACTCTGCCGGTTAGCTTGATTGTATATGTTTCAGCGAGTTCCTTTTAGTAGTAAAAAGTCGGCAGGTATATTTTGCAGGTTACAGGTTGAAACGACTTGTCTATTTGAGTTGAATATATAAACCCCAGTATAAACGTTAACCGCAAGCAACCTAAGCTAATTTAGGCTAACCGGAGTGCCATTCAGGCTTTAACCAAAGTGCTAAGTAGACTCACTCGGACTTAAAAGTCGAATTTTCAACCTGCAGCCTGCAACCTGCAAAACATACCTGCTCAGTAAAAGTGCACATACATTACTGTTTACTTGTGGTTAGTTTCACTGAAGTTTGCTTGCAGTTAGCTTTTATTTGTTGCAAAGGGTCAACTACAATNCGTGTAAAAAGGACGGGGCTGCTCGTCCGAAATTTTGAAAAAATCCTTATATGAGGTACCAAGATCCTGTTTTGTGGGCGTGGCTTGAAAATTTTTTCACCCCTAAGAAGTATCAATTGTAAAACAACACTTTTTAATAACTTAAATAGTCATAAAGACGATTGCTTCTAATGCGTCCTACTCGTAAAGTTGATCGTCAAATGTCTCCTAGCATATTTTTTTCGGCTCAATGCACTACCGTGTAAGCTCCCACTGTGAACATTTTGAGGCTGAACACCCGAAGGGGTACCAAATTAAAACCGCTCCTAAAAGGTACGATGAGCACCCCCGTCCTTTTACATGGGAGTTCCCCCCTGGCCGCTCGACTTATCATGTCAGGTGTAGCCGTAAATATATGAGAGGTTACTTTTCTATGCTAGTGTGTCTACAGATCTTTTTTCTGCGAGTTATTTTGCTTTGAGCCCCGAGCGAAGCCAGCGTGAGAGCGAGCAGGATGCGCCTTTTTTTTCAAAATATTCCTCGCGACGCTACTGAAGGCCCCCCACCCCAGCCCACCAAGAAACAAATAATAATCAGCCCGACCTTACTCGATACTCCCAGTCAAATGAACACTTATTGTACCAATAGAGACAGAAAAGTATCAATGGTAATAGAAATACAAATAACTGCTCATTCCTTTAATACCTTAAATTCCTTGTAGCTAGCTAGCTCAGTGTACATTTACTAAGTACTTTGCTTCTTTTAAATATAATGATGCGTACGCAAAATTGTTCAGTTTAAGTCAGCTTTTATATTCCGTGTGTAAATACGCTGGTAGAGATGGCTCAAGGACCCATAACTCAGTGGATAGACAGCTAGTTGTGATTTGACAAGCTAAGATAAATTCCACATTTAAAACTGTTATCGCGCCCGTTTCTTCAATTTTGCACCCATGCAAGAAATTGTGCATTTTTTTCAGTTTTGTTGAACAGCGATTCTTAGCGTAGCATTCTATTCTTGCAGAGTTCCGTAACCTCTGGCATCGGCATCTCGAACAATCTTCAACCTTGCAGAATGATTTTCATCCTCTATATCAGTATCCTGCCTGTCTCCTTGCGATTTATTTTCAAGATCTGACATGGCAATACTTTCTTCTTTTCCTCCTTCTCTCCTGCTGGACCTGCGGGCTCTCTTACTTGCGGTTTCTCCATCTTGCGCATGAGCTTTGCTGTCCTCGGCCGAGTCCCCCTGGGAGGAACTGAAGAGCTGCAGGATTTTTGAGTAGATGCCAGTCTTTTTCAGCTGAGACATGAGACTCTGCGCACAGAGGTTGATAGTTATGGAGACAATTGACAGGCCAACATAGAGCAGCATAAGGTTGATCCAGATACCCTGAAATATCAACGTAAGCTGTTCGGGATATTGAGGAGAGAAGAAAACAAAGTCATGCAATTATCCTCATGCACGTGCAATATTTTTTATACAACAAATAAAATAGTACGTAGAAACGATAAAAAAGTTAAAATCAACAGAAAAACAAATTTAAAAAAAACAGAATTAAAGTAGCTGAAGCTTTCTCCTTTCCTCAGTGTTAAAGAAACGACAAATGAAATGAAATGGGCATATTTTGTTAAGCAGCAAGTTTTTCAATGAAGAACGGTTTAAAATGCGGTCATAAGATTTCGTTCCCAGTACTCTTGGGAAAAACATCTTCGCCTTTAGTTTTCTTCACAAGAGATCTGGGAGCGAGGGGTGGAAATTAGTACTAGAAGAATACTGGATAGTGCATGACTTGAAGAGCACAGCTTTTTTTATGAGAAGATGCTTTATGAAGAGATAAGACACCAGTAAACATTCAGGAAGGGCGAACTAGACCACGAATTTTTGCGCTTGCCATATAGAACTCCATTAACATTGAATTTTTGGGTAAATATACTGAACAGAATTAATTTTCCAAAGAGGAACTCAGTCGTTGCATTTGAGATTAGGCAGAGGCCTCAGATGTGTCAAGACTGTGGTAGCCTTGTTTGCAAGAAAGAAATGTACGTGAAGTGTGAACTGCGTTAAGCGTGATGAGTCACGTGGACATCATAGATCAACCGTCCAATAAGATTCCTGTATATCTAAGAGAAGACAGTTAAGTGTTAGAGAGAGATTGTGTTAAGAGACTTTTTTTAGTGTCACGTTTGCGACACATGTTAGATTTATATTAGCTGTGATACGTCATTGTCTTTTTTATGATCTGAAGGTCCGTTGTTTGATGGTTAGTAATCTGCTGTGAGTAGTCCATAAGTCGAAAAGGTGATTAGTGTGAATGTGAAAAGAAAGTTAAGCCCTTGACATGAGATCACCTGAAGAGAAAGGGTCGTAGAAAAAAGAATTAATAGACTATAGACAGACCATGTTAAGTATTGAAGAACAAATGACATAGATGGCGATCCTCAAAGGTGCTAGGTAACTAGACGTTTCCAATTTTGGTAGTCTGGTAGTCTAACCTTCAGTTTTGCCTATAAGGGAGGTGTCGAGTTCAAATCCTCCTCCTTGCCACTAGATGAATATGTGTTTGGTGGTCCCAGATTCAACTCCTCCGCGCTTTGTAAATAGTCAGCCTCCTGCCAGTTGGGATATTTACGTACCACGTTTCTGTTCAATTCAATTTACAATATTTGTTTGCTTGTTTCAGCGTCCCCATTTAATAGAGTAATGCTAAACTCTTCGACACTTACATAAACTGATTTATTTTTTTAAATTTTATTTGGCCCAGCACCTTTGAAGAAGAGTTATAGATAGTTATACCCGCCACTGAGAATTTAATTCATGCAGCATAGTCAGTAGAGATATGAGGAATGAAAGTAAGAAACAGTTTAGATCAAAACATGGAAAAATGTCAAGGTGTTCTTAGAACGCGTGGGGCTGTCTGAGCTGAAGCATGCCATGCAGTCAAATAATAATAATAATAATAATAATAATAATAATAATAATAATAATAAGGCACGAATTTTAAGAGAAAATATGAACTGGCTATTGTAGATATAAAAAATTAGTGGCCTGCTAATGATTTTTTTTTCGCTTTCTCGTGCATGTTCACGCGTTCTTCCTATAATTGTGTGAGGCTGTTTCTTCCGTATACTAGTTTTTATTTTAATTGTCGCTCAGTGTTCTATTCTTATTGCTCCTTTCAATAACATGCGGACTCTAAAATTCAAAGCTCAACCCACAAATGCGTTTTTCGCTACCGTCAATCAAATGTTCAGCGGCTCCTCCCAGCTTCCGACTACTGCCGAGCGCGCGGTTATTCAAATCGTTGAGTACAGTTCAGACAACAAAACAGTGCTCGGAAGTAGTCGGAAGCTGCGAGGGGCCGCCGAAAATTTGATTGACAATAGCGAAAAACGCGTTTGTCGGTTGAGCTTTGAGTCCGCATGTTATTGAAAGGCGCAGTAAAGGCAAGTTTAAAAGTGCAGACATGTACCGCAATGATTTGACTTAACATACACCTGGGCGCTATAATTGAGTTTTGAATATTTACATCAGCTAAAAGATTAAAAATAATTCTTGGTACAGGGGGAGGAGCATTGGAAAGAAAGCAGTTATATGACTTAAAGGGCTCTCTCCCGTACGGTACGATGCCACGGGAAGAGTTTATTAGAGACGCGCACTTCCCTTGAAAAAGGCGGAGGCTAAATGGAATTACTGAGGGGAGGCTTTCTAGCTGTTAAGACGACGGGAGAATTAATAGATGGAGTCTGATCAGGTTGTAAACTTTTGGTCGGTCGAACGTGCTGTAAGCGTTAGCCTTAGAGTAGCCAGTTGCGCTTAACCTACATTAGGTTTTTTTAGGTAGTACATAGAGAACCGCGTTCTTGGAGTCGAGCATAACAGCATTTTGGGGTCGAGCGCTGATTTCGTGTCGCTAGCTCAAAAAATTCATCTCTTTCTTCAGTTCGGTTAATCTCCTTTATATCAAATACGGAACGTAGATTGATGAGTTACATCTTTTGCAGTAAGAGCAGGGTTGAGCTGGTCTCGATTTTATCGACCCTGTCTTCTAAACTAGAGATCATGAACCTAAGCAACTTCTAGCAAATAATTATTAAGGCTACACGCAAGACCTAAACCAATCAGAGAACAGCATACGTACCGCTTGAGACTGAGGTACGACATCTCCAAATCCGATGGTGGTAAACGTGATAAAAATGAAATAAAGCGCTGTTCCAAAGTCCCAACCCTCTAGGGCACAGTACATAAAGGACATCACTGCTAGAAACAGGAATATGATTGGTAGAGCGATCCACACTGGAGCATTGATCTGCGCGTCTGCAGACTCGAACTCGTAATCACTGTGGTACCTCCTTATGCGGTTTACCAGCCATGCGCATGCGTCGTTCAAGTAATGAACGATGTGGTTTCCCACCACGGCAAGCAGCATCAGGGTCAGCGGTATTCCGATGAGAGCGTACACAATGCAGAACATGCGGCCACCCGTTGTAACTGGCGCCAGGTTACCATAACCTAATAGAGAAAGAAACTTCTTTACTGAAATCAAAGTGCACTATGAGCAAACCCATCGATTTCCCAATGGATTATGATTGAAATGTGTGGCTCACAGGTTATTCTGGTTATTCGAGTTACCATATTGACTTCTGGCAATACATCTTATAACAGCAGATTTTTTCGTTTCTTTTTAAGGTGGCCGAACACAGTTTTCGCGCGCGCTTTTGCTGATGCAATTCAGGGCGCGCACAAGGATTGCAAAAGACAAACATGCCGTCAATAGAGCGATCATTTTATTTACTCGACGCCCGCACTATCTGTGCTATTTTT